TATATATATATATATTCAGATGTAGTGATTCTAATGGTCTCAGTTCTTGATATAGAAGCAACAATGTCAAGTTAACTTCACTTTCATCGTTAGCTTTTTGTTTATGAGTGGCTTGATTTCTCATTGTTTGGACTATTTTTCAAAGTTTGTTAAAGGATTATCATAATTAAAATAAGTCATTCTATTATAAATTAAATCGATTTGAAACTGCTTGACCCGAAATGAATTAATTATTAAATGAGTCAGAAAATCTAACACGAATACCCACCCCATCTGTAACCAGAGTAACCCAATTTGGATTCTCTGCAGCTCATTTAATACATGCATACTCGTTATCTGGATTAAATTTGGGTCAATTTTGAGCCAGTTTTTGGAATTTCAAATCTATTGAAGTTCGTTGGATAACCCGTGCTTGACCCTTAATGGTATCTTTTTATATTTTTGAGATATGATGTTTTATAAATCTCTATTTTACACGGTTGAGTGGTTGACGAACACCATAATATAGTTGTGGTCATGTTTAGACCTGAGCGTTGGGCGGGTGACTCAACGGTTTCGCCATAAGGCCGCGTAGAATGGGCAAGTTTGGCTGGGGAAAAAATTTTTTTTGGCGGATCCGACCTTATCCCGCTTTTTCTTAAAGTCTGTTTGGAGCAGTTGAAGCTTTATAAATAAGCTACTGAAAAATAATCTGATGTTTAAAAAACTGTGGTGACAATTACATTTTTTTTCGGAAAATCTAGACCGCAGCTGGAAAGCTGATACCACACCTAGCTAGAAACAGTGTGAAAACACTGATTTAAACTGTTTGAAAATGCAGTTTTTTGAAAAAGCTGTCAAAACACAGTTTTCCCGAATGACCCTGGAAACGCACCGCACCAAATAAGCTGCCCCGAATGGGGCCTCAGTCAAAGCCCAAAGTAGCGAAACCTGTACCGCCCATTTAAAACCCGACCAGAAAAAATTTACTAATTTATTTTAGTTGTTAGATATGTAAATACAAAATAATTATGTTCTATGCATGTAAATTTTCTCTTAAGAAGTTGGCCTGGGATATTGTGTAATAAGATTGAGATCAAACATTGCTTTCCTAAACAAATGTATATAGAATTCTTATTCCTAAATGGTTCAATTTACTTTTTTTATGCAAAGGCACACAATGAGGGAAAAATGCTTAGATATTATATATAAAAATAGATACCAATCGGATCACAACAATTATTTAAAAAAAAGCTAAAAAAAGATAATCAACTAGGGGTCCGTTTGGGGCCGCTCGTGCGTTGCACGACAAG